GTCAAGCCAGTCCAAGAGTCACAGGAGTAGAGTCGAGTCAGGAGTTGTGGTCACAGGATTCACTGTGAGGTGACGTGTTGCTTCCACAAGTTGGCCACAGCTCACCCCCAGTTTTATGCAGCTTTTCCCTAATTAGTCTTATCCGCAGCTGGCAAGTTAGCAGGGCTCCTGTAACGACTCATCTTGTAGCTGTCGACGGGCCATTAATCTTTTACTCTGTCTGCATTCTTGCAGTTGCCTTCTGATCTTAGCCTTTCTTTTTTCTATAAGCGGGGGGGGGGATCTGGGGGAGTCGTGGGTGCCTCCGGAGGTCATTGCTCCCTGACTTCAGCCGGCTCAGTATTATCTGACTGGAGTTTCTGAGTGCCCTCTACTCTGAAGTCACCTTTCCCCACGCTGGACTCAAGCTCAACTTCGGAGGAGTTCTCACTCACGCTGGGCTCCAGTGGCCAATCAGACGGGTCAGTCTGCAAGTCAGACTCGTCCTCATCCAGGCTGGGCTCAGGCAGCAAGTCAGAGTCTGGCTGCACCTCAGGTTGAGGCTGGTCCACGACACCACCTCTAGACCCCCTGTTTAGGGTTTCTATTAGCTCTCTGGGTCTAGTGGAAAGGAGAGGAAGAGTAGAATGTTACACACATTTTGACAGCACCTATACTCCACATCTCCAGATGACCATCCAAAGAAGTTCCATGTATTTATTTTTATTTATTTATTTATACTTTAGATTTCTATACCGCTCTGAGCGGTTTACACAGTTCTGAATTATCCCTAATTAAAGCCACATGTTTACAGGAGTCGGGGCTACCTACCGGCACCCAGGTGGCAGGGCTCGCTGTTCTCGGCTTGTTCCCAGGCTGTCTTTTTTCGGGCGTCAGTGTTCCTATGTTCCTGGCGTCTCCGGTGTCTGGCGAGGTCTTTTTCGGTCCGGCGGCTTTCTTTCTAGGCGGGCTCCTCTAGTGCGTGGTACGTGTCGACTTACAGCCCAGCTAACGCCCGATCCGGCTCCGCTGCGCCTGCGCACATCACCACGTCCTCCTATGGCTCCGCGTCCATCTCTGCCTCCGTCTTTGCCCCCCGCCACCGATCTGATGCCTCGCCATTCCACCGTCGATCCGATACCTCGCCATTCCACCGTCACCGCCATTTTTCACCGCTGCCGCCGCTTTGATGTAGATGTTAAATAGTGCGTGAGACAAGACAGAACCCTGTGACACCCATAAGCCAGTGGACCAGGGGTAATGTTTGCCTAGCTCCACATTCTGAGACCTATACACAAGGAACAACTGGAATCTACTGCAAAGTAGTACCAATCTGCTCAGGTAGTCTAGGAGTATACCATGGTTGAGGGAACACTAGATTTGGATATAGACAAAATTGTATTCTGTGTTGTTATTTAGAAGCTTTATTATACTTAACTGAGTTTTTTCAGTACAATACAGTCATTAAAACAAATTGTAGTATTGCTGTGTGTTTAGTAAACAGAATTCTTTCAGCTTCCAGGATCTAGTCTCAATTACTTTTTGCTTCCAAGATCTAGTCTCAATGACTTTTTTTTTAAAGATAGCCACTCTTTTAGTAACTAGTTAAGTAACTAGCTTTCCTGATGAACAGCCTGGTAACTTCTATAGTAACATCCTGTGATTTGAAAGAGAAGTTTTATAAGATTCGTTATCAGTCGCACTTGACACCTTAGTAGAATTTATATTAATGCCGGAGACTTTTACTGGTGTCGTGGCAGCAATCATGCAGATTCTTTTGCATTTATTTTGGTTCTGTCCTCAGATAAGGGCTTTTGAGAAAGACGTTTCGTTAGAGGTGTAACTGTCCGTGTTTTGCCTACCAACCTGAAAGTGATCCAATTGGGATTTTTGGGAGATGCTATTAATAAATTTGACTTTAAATTGATTAAGCAGCAGCAGAAGACTTCTTCTCACCAATTTCAGAGTAGTACAGAGCTGCGGTGGCTCAAGTGGTTAAGACGCTGAACTGCAGGCTGTGGAAGGTCAGTAGTTCAGTGGTTCAAGACCCGGGTGCCGCAAGACAGGGTGAGCTCCTGTCTCTAGCTCCAGCTCCTGCCAACCTAGCAGTTCGAAAGCAAGAAATTGCAAGTAGATAAATAGGGACCACTTCGGTGGGAAGGTAACAGCGTTCCGTGCGCCTTGGTGTTTAGTCATGCCGGCCACATGACCACGGAAACGTCTTCGGACAGCGCTGGCTCTTCGGCTTTGAAACGGAGATGAGCACCGCAACCCTAGAGTCGGATTCGACTGGCTTTCGAGCAAGGGAACCTTTACCTTTACCTTTTTACAGAAGTATCTAGGCAATTGTTCTGATTCCAAGTCAGGATGTGACATTATACAGGCAGACAAGTTTATTAAGACAAGGATTATATATTAATGTGTGTAATGACAAGCTTCAAGTCAACATTCAACCACACGTGTTTTGATTTATGAGTTAGTCAATGGTCTGTAATTCCTTTAAATTTTGAAATTCTAATTATGGCATTAATTTGGTAGTTGTAAGATGAAGAAGGAAGAAGGGAATGCTTCTTCGCTGTGTCTTTAGTCCTGCCTGCCATATATGTGAAAAAGGCTGAGACCATGAAGGTATCCCTAGAATGGTTGATGGTATGAAAAACTGTTGAGAGAGCCATAAGATTCAACGAATGGGCTCCCCCCCCCCATCAGTTGCCTGTCAGGGCAGTCAAGGCGGTTTCTATCCCGTATCTTGGAAGCGTTCCTGAAAAGGGCCCCCATAATCCCTTATCGTACACAAGCACTTTGAGTTGTCATCACCACATGCAGCTTATATTGGACTCCCCCCCCCCCGGTAATTGGAAACTGGCTCCTAATGAGCAGACTTCCAGTTAAATTACAAAAACTACCCAAAAAAAACTACTAGGAGAAAATACCAGATATAAGTGGCTTCAGTATTGAAGATATTGGTCAAACAAAATGAGAAATGGGTGCTAATTAAAATCACAGAAGCAGCAGCTGAGGAATTTTTAAATGCACCTGACCCAATTAAATCAATAAACGAAAGAAGTTGGGTCTGAGTACCTGGAGCACATTTTCTCTCGAGACAGGACTGAATACAGGAAGTCAGCTTTGCTTGGGGTGGCTGCTGAAAGGAAAAGACCTCTGTAGGGGGAAGGTGCCCGGGAGGGTGAGATTTAGGTGTCCTTTTCATGCACACTCCTCTTTTTTTAAATTAACTCTCCACAAATGCACCTCCCCCGGCTGTTTTAGGATTCTGGGGAAAGAAAAGGAAATCTCGGTCTCACACGCACGCATACTGTTTTCACTGTTCTAGCTGCCCATAGAATGTGGATGCCTTTCCAATGAGTTCTGCTTCCTTGCTAGGCCTAAATTACAAACCAGGGTCACAGACTGATCAACATTCCTTTGGAAGTGAAATAAGCAATGGATCTTGATCTGGTTTGTTCGCTTTACCTGATATAAAGATGTGCACCCCCTGCAGAGAAAGTGACTTTCTTCAGCATTATGAAAAAGTCGTAATTCCATTAGCATAGTGGCCAAACCTAAATCCTAGTCCTAGTGAAGACTTTCGTTAACTGTGGTGGTTTGGAAACGAATTCCCAAGTGGTCTGGTCTCTAAACAAATAGACGAATATTGCCTAACATATCGCCTAACAGGGACAGAATTACCATCTAATTTTTAGTAAATAATGTAGCTTTTGCCTCTTCATTCACAATGTAATGGACTGGGCAGCTGTGAGCAGCAGTGAAACAGCTGTTTCTTGTTTAGTTGAGGTCCCACATCATGAAATGTGTTTGACACTCTTCTGTGCAGGGTGAGCGCGCACAGTATGCAGTATGAGCGCGTTCCTGGTGGTATTTGGGCTTGGAAGATACAGTGAAATTTTTGTCTTACTGGTCAGTTTTGCTTCCTCTGGAACGGAGGAATTGATGCTTTTACATAACATACTTATTGCGGAAACTAAAGGGAATGCTTCTTTGCTGTGTCTTTAGTCCTGCCTGCCGTGTATGTGAAAAAGGCTGAGACCATGAAGGTATCCCTAGAATGCCATTTCTTTGCTTTCATGGCTTGTTGTTCAGCCACTGGCCCTTCGTATTAATAAAACTGCTTTGGCTTTATGGGATGTTCTCTGGAAGATCTCAACGTGTGTCCTACAGAAGTGGCAAGCAGTAGTTCTGGCCTTGGTCTGGGGGAAAAAAATTAATTGTGCATAAGAAAAAGAAAAGTGAAACAGATTCTCTGATAGCATGGTCTTGCGTGTGCTGTGCTAAAGCAAATGTTTGGGTTTGTGCAGGGTTAATGGTTGTGTAAGGGCCTGGTTCCAGCTGTGCCCACGAGGCCTAACAATAGTTCTGGCATGGATGCAGTGGGGACTTTTTGGCTCTTAACAGTCGTAGATGCAAAAATACAGCCAAGCATAAGAGTGCAGGAGAGCGGGGAGTTCATCTTGCCAAGAAAAGGACTGCATTGAGCCGCTTACGCTGTTACAGTGCGTTGTTTATTGTTGCCACCTATCTTGCATCCTTTTTTCCCCATTCAAGGCAGCTATGCGCAGTAATCCTGCTCTCTGCTAGGAGTGCACTGTATACTAGCGCACTGTATACTAGCGCACACAGCGCACACAACGATGCAGCATTGGATAGTGGAACCTGCTACAGGGCTTGAAGGGGCCTCTGCAGTGTTCCGACTAGGATTTGGGATCTGCCTTGGGCAGTGGGATTAGAAACACTGACCGTTGTGGGAAGGCGGCCATTGAGATATAGCTTGCATTTCTTTTAAATTAAATATGGGGGGGGGGGTTTAGTGTTCTGAGCAGTGAAAAACAGAAATTAAGTTTCAGTATAAGTCACTAGCTGCTGTTCATCTTGGATGTGAGCTGTGTGTCTCATTGACTAACTTATGACTCAAATGGGGACGCACATCAAATGGGATTTACAGTGCCTTTTAAAACTTGTTTGTGGGGATGCCACTAAATCTGGTTCCCTTCTTTTCTTTTCAGGATGATGAAGGCCAAACGGCATTGCATTATGGTAAGTGCTGGAGGGGCATGTTTGCATGCTGTCATGTACCGGTAGATGGCATAAACCATAGCTGAAACCAACCCCGTGTAACAGGAGCAAACGCCTTTTATTCAAAATGGTCACATTTAGTTCTGCAAGGAAAAAAAACACCAAGGCCTTTAAAGCAGCTACAGTGTCTGTCCTGAAGTAAATATTACTTTCTCACTGAGATGTCCTCGGATTTTATGGGGTTTTATTTCAGTCGGTTTTGGTTCATGTTGACCACTGATAGATCTGGCAACTTAAACTTCAGGATCGCTCCTTTAAAACAGAACTCATAGTTGTATCAGGCCAAGGAGTGGAGATTCGACTCTCCCCGTGCTTCTCTCACCATTCCTTAAATCCAATATGAAACACACACATACACACACGCTACATTTTTTAAAGATTGCTCATTAGTTTAATTTTTTCCCCTAGATCCACACAATAAATTGTATGGAGAAGAATGTGCCAAGGCAGAAAGAGCCTCTGTCTTCTCCCTGTCCTAGTAATAATAGTGGGGCCAGAGGGCCGCTTTCATGCAAAATGGGTTAGATTGATCAGGCCATGTGTCGCTGAATTCCATTATGAGCAAGTTTATTGTTCAAAAATACTCTGATAGGGGAAAATGGGTGAGTTTAAGGATTCCTTTGTCAGGAGTGCCTTTTGTTATTTCACACAAACTGTTCTTTCTTCCTTTTGTAAATCTCTGTAACAAATTACAATGCACAATACACACAAAGGGATATATGTTGTCTGGATATAACTGATTCAAACTACGAGTCTTATAATTTCAGAGCAGGTCTGAATCTCTGCATCCTGGCTTCTCCGTTCCTGCCTTGGCCTAGAGGCAGCCATCCCCAGCAGCACCAATCAAACCTTGCTTGAAGCTTGACAATATCTTGTTAGTTTAATTAATCATTGTGATTTGCTCAGACCTGCAATCTCCTGAAAATCCTTATGTATTTATTACTCAGTCTGTATAATAAAGCCATTAATTTTAACAGACTTGACTGTAGGCACAATCCTCCTCTCCATGAATAGCCTTTCCTCTTTGTTGCAGCTGCATAACAAACCAATGAGTTAACCAGATACCTGCATGTGGGGATGGAGAAGTGGGAGCTGAGCTTATCTTTCTTTTTATGAGGGTGTTTGCCCTGACAGCTGTCCTTGCCTTGGCAGCACTGGTGATTACAGCAAGTGTCAAACTGCATCCTTAGATAGGTAATAAATCCTGTTTCATTCTGATTAAACATGGGTCAGAGCCATTCGGAGGTTAAGCGAAGGACAGCTCCCCAGTATGTCCCCCTCAAATGGGCGGCACGTTATGAAAAGCCCAAAGCGTACTCTCCCACCCACCCCCCAGCTCGGTTCAATATCCTCTGGTTATTGGTGCCCCTGTCATTTTGTGGTCAGTGGCAGAGTTGTGTCTTTGAAAAGCCCAGGATGTGTGTGGTCTCCCTCGTGAATGGCCTGTTAGCCTTGTAATCCCTGCCCGCTGCCGCGCGCCCCCCCCCCGCACTCGTTCCCCACAGGGAATGCTCAAATGATTGCCTCTCCATCTCCCAGAGGAAATCAAGGTTTCTCCTTGCACTTGAAGTCACGTGGCTTTAGAGTGGGGCTGGCTCTCTGTATCCTCCTGGGCTCTTTCTTCCTTGTCGGAACACCATCTGCTCTGCACTGTGGCGGGGCAGTGGGAGGGGATGCCAGAGTGGAAATAAATAATAAAAAAGAGAAATCTATCACGAAAACCCTGAGGATTAATGGACTTGGAAGGCAAACTATGCTGAATGGAAATCCATCTTCACCTGTGCCTGTGTCAGGACTGCCTCTCTGGCGCTTGACGGATAGAGGTTCCCAGGGCGGCCCATAAATCCTGCAGCTGTTCTAATCTCCAGGGGCAACTTTGCACTCTTCAGAGGTGGGCTGATGTCCTCTTGGGTTTCTTAGGCACAATTCACTCTCCAAAGCTTTCTGTGCAGAAATACCAGATAAGTCCCTATGGCTGCACCTAAGCCTCAGGCCCTCTGTCTGCAAAGGACCCCTCGTAGTATTCATGCAAACATAAGCAGAGTACTTTCAAGTAACGTAGCATCTGCCTCTGCTCTTCTTAATGCAGGACTCTTGTGGAATGATCACAGTCAGATGGTGGGCTGGATTCATTCCTGCCTTCTTGTTTTGGTTTGTTTCCAGATAGAATTCAGCTACCCCACCCCACCCTGCTTTGGGTTTATTCATTTTTAAGTGTTGTCAACTGATTGAAGAGTTTCTTGTTGATTCTTTTAATTGATCAAGTTTTAATCCAGTGGTAAATTAATAAAAGTTCTATGGAATTGCTTTTTTAAACTATCCCTGGGGGCTTTAAGGTAATTTACTCCTTTATTTATTTATTCATTCATTCATTTCTATTTGAATCCCGCCCTCCCTAGAAGCAGGCTCAGGGCGGGTTCCATGATGAAATTCACAGTACAACAAATCAACAGTTAAAATGTATCTAAAAACCTATCTAAAAACAGTAATTAATAAAAGACTGGTGCCTCAGCAGATCTCAGCAAGACGCAGTTGGTTCCCAGGTGGTCATTTGGTTCCGAGATCACTGGAGGGGGGAGGCCAATAGCAGGTGGGCGCCCGCTGCCTCAACTGAAAGCCTGGCGGAAGAGCTCCGTCTTTCAGGCCCTGCGGAACCGTAATAGGTCCTGCATGGCCCTGATTTCTAATGGGAGCTTATTAGAAATGGAAGAATTAGAATTATTGAAGCTGTCAGTCACATTTAGAACAAAATGCAGTGTTTGGTGGTTCTCCCCCCCCCCCATCCCCTATCTCAAGGACACACAGGAACCAAAATGGCTGCAAATATCTGGCCCAGCGAAATGTACCCCTACTTTGCCATCTGCCAAGGCAATTCTGCATAAAACAAGTAGGAAGAAACACGGTACAGGGACACAACAGAAATGAAAACTACTGTGTAACAGAATGACACCACATCAAAGAACCCTGTAAATGCTATAATCAAAAGTACTCAGTATAATGTGTCACACAATATATAGCCAAAATACACCACCCATTCTGACTATTGTTGAAAAACAATGTCCAAAAAAGTAAGTCCAGTTAATGTAGCAACATGTTAAACCTTCCAAATGTTATTGCAAAACAATGTCCAAAATATAAATCCAGTAGGTGAAACGAATTAGTGATGAAAGGAATCCAAAACATTCAGCGGGACAACTCCTCCAAACACGATATGAGTGTGAACCGGTTCCCGATTAGCTTCACGCGTTTGCCGACTTCACAGTCGCGTATCGCTTGCAGCTTTGTCAAAAGAACAAAACCTGGAACAAGTGCCAGAGCCTCTCGTTATCTGACTGTCAACATTAGTGCTTTTCTAACGGGGACCTCCGTCTCCCACGTAAGCTGGTTGAAGCCGAGTGCCGCGCACATATTACAGAGTTAGCCTCATTGGACACTGCAGGAAGGATTCACTTCCAGGGGCAAAATCCTGAGACTCAGCTCGAAAGGCTTAAGATGGCAACCAAGCCCCAGTTCTGGCATACGTCAGAGATTCACCACGATATCTCTGTGCCTGTGTGACCTCTCATAGCTGTGCTAGTGACGGAGTCAAAAGTGGATGCCACTAGAAGAAGAAGAGATTGGATTTATACCCCGTCCACTTTAAGTCTCAGAGCGGCTTACAACCTCGTCTCCCTTCCCCTCCCCACAACAGACACCCTGTGGGTTAGGTGGGGCTGAGAGCTCTGAGAGAACTGCCCTTGAGAGAACAGCTCTGAAAGAACTTGTGACTGACCTAAGGTCACACCAGCAGCTGCATGTGGAGGGGTGGGGAATCAAACCTGGAAATCCCAGATTAGAGTCCGCGCTCCTAACCACTACACCAAACTGGCTAGAGGTATGTTAGTGGAGGAATGGGATCTGATCAGCACCCTAAATACTTTTTCCTCTGTATCCTGTTCAAGTGCTGGCAGAGCAGCTGCCCAAGAAGACGCGGTAGGTCTAAATATCCCACTTGGACTCAATAGAAGGGGAAGCCAGTGCCCACCGACATAGCCATAGCAGAACGTGAGGCTCCTGAGGAGGAATTTGGAGCAGGGGAACATCCCCAGTACTGTCTGTGACTGGCTGCAAAGTTCTCCAGAACCACCTCACACAAGGAGTATACAGCATCCCAGATGACCAGGGCCTGTGGCGAAGGGCCATGCCTCTCTGCCCTCATGTTGAGGACTCTGCTGTATGCAGGCCTTTCTGTGCGGCAAATATGGCTCAGCTTCTTTCATGAGGAGGAGAACGTTGATAAGAAAATGTCTCCATTGCTGAAAGGTTCCAATTCATAGAAAGGGGTTTTTTTTAAAAAAAAATCCCTGGAAAACCTCCTTACAAACGTGTTATTAATTTGACTACCACAGCCATAATTTGCAAGCTGAGTGCCACAGGAAGGAAGAATCAGTCTCTTGTGAGCCCCTGGCGTCCAGACGCAGAGGAAGCCGCCTGCTGCCGCTCTGTGCAGTTCACCTGCCTTCTTCCAGTTAGCTTCTTCGAAGGGGCGGGTGATTCTGCCGTGTCTCTGCTTTGGTCGGAACTGAATGATCCAATCAACCGCAGTCCAGATGTGCGATGGAATTACCTATGCAGAGAGGGAAAAATCATGCCTGACCTATGTGTCCCCTGGTTTTGAGCCATTCAGGACCTCTTAAATCTCTGCTTATGGGGTCACAGCAGGGCTCACAGAAGCCATGGCCTGAAAGAATGCAGGGGAGGGGTTTGAGACCTGAGTCATGGTTAACCATGCCAGGCCACGTGGACAGTCATCACCGCTGAATACAACGGCATCTAAACATCTTGGGAGAGTTTTTTTCCTCTCTTCCTCCCATTGTGCCTTTAAATAACCTCCAGCCATACTGCTGTCCTCTTTTAATTAAACTTTTGCTTCTTCACTCCTCTTGTGTCAGCTGCAGAAGGCAACAAAAACATTCAAGATA